TTTAAGCACGGTTTTTATTTAATTTATTTAATGAATAATTTTTTTTTTTTGAAGATTTGAAAATATTTTTTTAATAATTATTGTAAAAAAATCTCCATTTTTGGCACATTTTTATAAATAAATAATTATATTATTTATTAATGCTTTCAAACCAGAACTTTAGCATAATTTTTCATTATATTTATTTACTAATTAAAAGAAAAATTAATTATCTTGCTAATCTAATGAGCTTCCGAGCTCAAGCAAAGCTTCACTACTTATCTGTGGAAGCAATCTTTGCATAAATTTAGCATAAAAAGCATGTACAAATAAAATTATATACATATGTATATATCCATATACTCGACCAACTCCAACATCTTCGTGCCATATACATATGTATGTATGTATGTATGTATGTACCTCGAAGAAATCGCGTGTAAATTACTTACAAATTGCTTAAAAGCGTTAATGATAGCATACACGTTACTGAAAAAAAAATATGCAGAAGAATTCATAAAGAAATTACAAGGCAACAGCAACAAATACAACAACGAAGATAAAAGTTAAACATGAAAATATAACACATTTATTAAGAGCATTAATTCTTTATTAAGTAGCTGAAAAAGTAGGTGTTAATAACATGAAAAACGGGAACTCTTCAGCAAAAATGCAGAAACAGCTGTTTATTTTACTCATTACCCAATTTCTTAAGTAGCAAGCAGTCAGCAACAACGCAACAAGCTCTTGAGTGCATCACATTGCGCCAAGCGAGAAATCGCATTTCAATTTGATCTTTACATTGTTTGAGTAGCAAATTGTAGCAATTTCAACTGTCAACGCGCCCAAATGTTTTACTGATCCTTACAAAAACACACACATAAACACACGCACACTTTGTGTTGCGTCGCAGCACCCCACTTAGCGGCCATCGGAGATTGGCGTGGCTGAGCTCGCCCAAATAAGTCGGTAAAGTAAAGTAGAAAAGGATCAATTACCAAAACAATTATTTACCTTTTCGCAAATCTTCAGCTTTTTATTTGAACAATAAGCGTAACAACAATGCAAACATTGCAACAAAGCCGTGCCGCGTCGCATCGCGCCGCCAAGAGACCCTCTTATAATAATTGTCATCATCCTGGTAGTGGTGCAGGCACTCGGTGTTTATTCACTGTTGCCGCTGCCTCTGCTGCTGTTTCGGTTAATGGTGCGGAAGTAGTGCGCAACTATGTGTACTACCCTCTGCCCGTCCTTGCGCTTTGCTCGAGTTCAAGTTGAGTGTAAATGATACTGTGATATATTTTTGATTTCCCTTTTTATTTTCCATTTCATTTTCCCATTGCCTTTGCCTTGTAACTGAGTAATAGTTTTAAGCAACAACAAAATAGTCATGTAGTTTTGTTGCTACCTTTTATTGGGTATTATTTACAAAGAAACTTGCCGCTCTTACGCAATGGAATTGTTATAGTTGCTATTTTCAAATGGAGTTCCTGTTGTTGGATACTTTTTAGGCTTTTTGTTGTTACATAGAAGAATGATAGTAAAATAAAATAAAATAGAATAAAATATGAAATAGAATAAAATAAAACAAGATAAAAAAAATTAATTAAGTAAAATGAAATTAAATAAAATACAATAAAATAAAATAAAATAAAATAAAATAAAATAAATTGAAAGAAAAAAAATTTAATAGAAAAATGAAATAAAATAAAACAAGATAAAATAAAAAATATATTAATTAAAATAAAATGAAATTAAATTATATTAAATAAAGTACAATAAAAGTAAAAAAGATGTTATATAAGATAAAATAAAATAAAATTCAATTCAATAAAATAAAAACAAACAATAAAACAAAATAAAATAAATTAAAAAGAATAAAATCCAATAGAATAAAAAATAAAAAATAAAAAATGAAGAGAATCTGTGAAACTCTATTACCGTTAATGTTAAGAAGTGGGTCCACCAAGGAATTTTTATTTTATTAGGCATTAAAATTCCTTAATAAATGTTTTCCATCGATATAACTTAAGAGTTCGCAAAAACGCTTGTTGAATCTTATGAGATATGATTCAGCTAGATTTCCCACTGATTCCAATTGTATATGTATATTCATTGGTGAGAAAGGCATCAAACGTTTTCGTTGAGTGTATTTACGGGTTGTCTTCTAACGTATCCTCGAATTAATGGAGAAGCTAAGATTGTTAAGACTAGTTAGGCAATTGTTAACCGTCATTTAGAGATTTTTGGTGTCACATCCGCTTTCTTGGTTGGTCTGGGATAAATTGAATAAAAGGTTAAGGTTGGCCTTTGTTTGAACTCTTTTGTTCTTGATTTGCGAAACGAGATCCTTCCATGCCATCAGAAGTCCATGATTTGTCAAAGAGGAATTTTAGACAATCGAGTCTTTCCACGTTGTTGATCGTCTTGATATGGATGAACATACATAGCTGTAAACATGTCTCTTAGCGAGGGCTATGTTCTGGAATTTCCTTAAAATATATCCGTGTTAATTGGGGGCAGATGAAGAAATGATCATTTATCGATAGGTCTGACCTTTGTGGCTGATGGGGTTTAAAGATCATCATATCAGATCTTATACACAACTAGTTGTCTTTTCTTAAATTTTTTTGACTTTCGTTAAGTCGGTTTTTACGGTGCTCTCAGTTCAAACTCTTTTAATCTACAGAGTATAAGCTGATACATCTTCCGGTGGGGTTCAGTTACATTCTTCAATGAATTAGAAAAAAATCTATAAGACAGAAATGAAAATCTTACACTTTATGTTTGTTTTATAATATTTAATTTAATTTACTATTAGGTGCAAACGACAAAATTGTGTGGCTTTTGATAACGGATATTTTTGAACAAAAACAAAAAAAAAGTAGTTTAGTTCAAAAACTAGATCATTGAATACTTAGGCTATACATTCTTTTTGCTATCACAGGCAAGATTTGTAAAAATGAGAACTCGAGAAAATGCCATTCAAAGTTCTGCGCGAGCGCTCAAACCTGCTCGACGTTCGGCCACTTAGACTGCTCTGGCTTCTAAATAATGTCGAATTGACCAACGAATTTTTGAAAAAATATTTTTGGATAGTTTTAGAATACACTTAAGAAAAAAATGCAAATTTGAAGCCTCTAAAGCAGACTACTATACTGCCTTACTGTAATCCCTTAATAATATTCATATTTGCTTAAACTTTTAAATCACTTTAAAATTTGGATACGTTAATAACGAAGTATTCTTAAATTAATTTTTTAAAGTATTAAAAATTTAATAATTAATAAAAAAATTAATCAAATATAAAAAAAAATATTTGAAAATTATTAGTGAGTTTAATCCATCATATAATATAATTTTTATAATTTCATAATTCAAACACAAGGAGACCAAACACTAATTCCTGTTTTCACTTAAAACGTACCACAGTGCAACGCAGCTTGCAACCAATTTGACGCAACTACGTAATTCACGCCCTGGTACGCTGATTTTTAATTTTTACTTCTCTTTTTCAAATTATTTCACATTTAACTGGTTCGTTGGTTTGTTGGCTGATTGGTGGCCTCGATGGCTGCCAACCTCCATCCGAATTCATGTATTTAGGTATGTATGTATGTGTATGCATGTATGCATGTGTAACTAAATAGTTTTGTTGTGATTGTTCACAGTCTGTTAGCGCTCTTTTCGCCCCTCTCCTCGCTTGCTTGATAGAGAGCGTAACTTAATATTGTAATTGTAGCGCAATGAAGCGCATTTCTAACATTCAACGATGCTGATTTTTCGCAAATGATAAGCCTACTGCTAAGCGTAAGCGTAACATATGCAAGTACTTAAATATAAATGCACACAGACAAGCGAAATTTCGCACATACACACACACATATATACTTACTAGTCGATATGTAGGCAAAAGTCCTGGAATCGCTTTAATGTAAATTCTGAAAATAAAAATTGAAAAATCGAAAAAAACACGAATGGTAAAAAGGAATTAAATAAAATAGCAGCAGCAAAGGTGGAGGTAAAGGTGGTGGCTGTCTCGCTGGCTGCAACGGTTCGTTGGTTGGTGCGTTAGCAAATAGTAAAGGCGGCGGCTGGCGTTGGTTCGGTTGGTTGGTTGGTCGGATGGCTGGCTGGCTGGCTGGTTGAAAATTTCTTTTGTTTAGGCGAGTGTATGTGTGTGTGTGTGTTTGCATGCAATAAAGTATATAAGTAGCACTCATTTACTCTCTACCTACATTTGTATGTATGTATGTATGTATCTACGGGATATTTTTTTTTGCCGTTAAGGGCGTAGTAGTTATGCCAGCAACACTGTGTGCTTATGAATATGTGTGCACCGTTATCAGTCAAAATAATCGCACACTACCGCGTCTCTTATCTGATCATGTAAAAATATTGTAATGTTTCATTTTTTTTCTGCAACACTCGGCTGGAATTGTCTGGTACCTAAAAGAAATTTAGCTGTGGTGGCAACAACAACTATGGGCTTATGTTTTTAAATATGTAACTGATGTAGTGCGTTAGTTTAGTAAAGTAAGTAGTAGTCGGTTGATATTATAACGGCAGCGGAAGTGGTCAATACAGCCTTTGGGCTTTGTTGCAAGTGCAAATACGTAAGCGCAAGCAAAAAAAAACAAACTTAAACACTAGCAACATACATAATGGAAAGCTATTACAAGAATTTGTAATTAATTTTACAGTGAGGGTGAGTTTTCGCATAATGTTTTTTTTTTGTTTTCTTATTTTTTTTTTTTTTTTTTTTTGAAGGTCAAATAAATTCCATTTCGAAAATTGATAAAGTGAAAAATAAATTAAAAATGTATGAATGTATGTATTTGAATCATAAGCGACCTACATTAATATGCTGGTGTGAGGGAATAAATGTGTATGGATTAAACATAGTAATTAGTAAGCGCCTTTAATGATTTAGAAATACTTTTTAAAAAATAATTAAACTAAAATATAATTTTTATTTTAATTTAACTAATTGATTTTCTGTTTAATTTTTCTTCTTCCAGGTCAATCGCCCGCTTACCATGAAAAAAGAAGGCATTCAAACGAGAAATCGCAAATTATCCTCCAAATCGAAAAAGAAGAAAGGTCTTGGTGGCGGTTGTCTACCCATTGGTAGTCATTTGGGCATGGGCGATTTTAAGCCGCTTGACCCGTCGAAGGGTTTCGGTGGCGGTTTTCCAGCATCAATGGGTGAGTGAAAGAAAGTTGGGCTTTAAACAGTAAATATCTAATAGTAGGTATCTTTAAGTATGTATGTAGTTGAAGATTAAACTAAATTGATTAAAATCAAATAATAAAAGAAATAACTATATTAAAAGACAAGAAAATATGATTTGTATTTGAATTTTAGGCAAGCAAAATCTTATGAAAATTTCGCAAAACTAATTTATTATCATATAAAATAGCACGGAAATATTTATTAAATTAAAAATGAAATAAACCAATAATTAACTCTTAAACAAAATTTGGTTTAGATTAAAATTTAATTTAAATTAGTTTATATATTAATTAAAAATATCATTATATGCAACAGAAAAAACTAAGAATTAAAGTTAAAATTAAAATTAGTATTTTACAATTTAAGAAATAAAAATTCAAAACTGCGAATGAAAAGATTATTATCAATCTTTCTTTTTTATTATAATGAGTTTTAAAAAATAAAATATTAAAACTATCTTATAATATAATATTATTTAATTAATTTGTCAATATTTAAAAAATAAAATATTTAAATTTTTCAATAACGACAGTTCGCATTAGACTATAATAAAATTTTATTGATGAAGATTTTGTAGAATAAGAGTTAGTATTTCACCATTCAAACTTTCTTGTATTAACATTTTAAAAAAAAGTTATAAATAATAAATTCACACCTTTGACCGTTCAAATTTGAAAAACGATATGTCTATGCCTAGTTTCGGCCTATAGAAAAAATCAAAAATAATAAATTCAAAAAAAAAATAAAAATAAATTCAAAATTAACAAATTCACGATATCGAATAATACAAGCTACATAGTATTTGACCATTAAAGTTTTCAAAAATATAATATTAAAACAATTATTAGGTTAACAGTTTTGAATAACACAAACTGATATTTGAACTTCAAAATTTTGAAAAAATATGATTAAAATAAAGATATTTTTACTATGAAAAAACCTAAAAAAAGACATTTTAAAATAAAACACAAAAGATTAATAGAACTGAGAGTTAGTGTCTTGCAACAAAAAAAAAATTAAAAATAAATTATTAATAACTTTGAATATCCCTCAATTTGACTTTAAAAAATTTTATTAATGAAACTTTCCAAATGTGTTGTGCCAAAAAAGTGAAAAATCAACTCAAAATAGAAACGAAATTTAATTTGAAACTCAAGAAATAAATATTAATACATATAATATATATTTATTTAAAATAAATTGAGCGGTTTGAGTGAAAGCTTACATATTAATTGAAATTAATCAATTTTTGAAATTGAAGTTGATTTAAAAAAACATATAAAAATAAAATAGAACTAAAAATTATTGTTTAATCTAAATAACAAAAAATTTAAGAAATATAAAAAAGAATATTTAAATAAAAATATGCACTGCATCTGAGATTGTACGAAAACTTAATCAAAATTTTATGGCAATTTATTCAAATAAAGAAATATGCAGTATTAATAAGGCAACCCTTAGATTACATTATAATCTTTTTATGCTTATTTACGTATACTTGAAAATATTAACATAAATATTCATACTTACATATATGTATTTGTATGTATATACAAAATACTTGCATACAATTTATAATTTTCATATTTATTTACTCATTTTCTCACTTTTGCTTTGCCTTCCAGCACAACATGGCCATCTTTCCAGTGGTTTACATCCCGCACATGCGCATATGCACGGCGGTTGGTATACCGGCGGTATGGGCGCTTTGGGTGCATCTAGTGGCCTGCAAAGCGGCTTCTCTACGGCAGGTTCACTGGGTGGCGGTGTGGTGCCACATTCGCAGCCATATCATCTTGGTTTGGGTTCGATGGTAAATGGAAGAAGTTTATAATACTTTTTTTTATTTATTTTTATTTTTGGCACAAATAAGAGTAAACCTTAAGAGAATGGAAAATATAGAGTAATTCTCTTTATTGAGTAAAACAAAAGTAGCAAGCAGTGAATGTAAATATTTATTTATGTATGTATGCTCAGTTAATTTTTTTTATAAATAATTAGAAAATAATTGCAGTTCAAATGAACTTATTTTAGAAATTTCAACGACAATAAAATTGGCGAATATTTTTAAATGACTTCTCTTATCATTGAAAGATTTATAGGGTTTATTTAATTAGCCACGACTGTAATAATAATCAGTTACTCATTTTACTCTTCTACTCGCAAATTATTTCTCTTCACTATTTTATTTTATTAACAGCAACAAAATCACAACAAACCTAACTAATTCATACTTGTTCTTCCTCTCATTTCTCTCTCTCTCTCTAATAGGGCACCTGGCGTACAGATTATACGTGATGGAGCGGGAACAATTTGAATAATAATTTATTCAATTGAAAGTAAACAAGACAAAAACAATAAAAAAAGCATACCAAAAGAAATAGTAAACACGCAGAATATGCGCTTGGTAGGCATACATATAACAACAGCAACAACTAAACCAGCGATGAAAAATACCAGTGAACTACAGTAAAAGAAAAAATTCGGAGTAAAACATAAATTGATTCGGAATCAGCCATACAAGACTAACTAAAAGCCATAACTGAACGCCTACACCTACAAGAATTCACAAGCATTTAAATAAGAAATAAACATTACGCACGTAACGTTAACACCAAACTACAAAAACAAAGCAGTCGAGAATTGCAAACTACAGCAGCGCTTAGAGATATGAGCTAAAAAGGGAATATGTGCAAGATTTTTTAATATTTACAACCGAAACCCTCCGTTATATATGCAAAAAGCAGTTTCTCAACGTACAGCAGCAAGGCGTTATAGTTTCGTTTAGTAATGCCGAGATTATCCTGTCGCCGCCAATACTAATGAGTGTAGAACAAAAGGAAGAAGATATTTGTTTGAAGTAAACTCAAGTGGCATGCAACATCATTAGTGCGAAACAACAAACACACACGTACAAAACAGCCACACAAAGAACCCTAAAATCTATCAACTGCCAAGATATAGCTCCTCAACTCAATTGAGCGTGAGTTCCAACGGAACACTTACGGTTAACCATCAGGGGCAGCGCAAAAAAAAATTGAAAAGACTCAGCTTCGCCTTAGCCACAAGCCGTGCATCTCCTCCACACCAGCACTACATCGTTACGCTGCACTTGTTACCCACCGCACCGCCAAGTCTAAGCCTACTTAATAACGAACGGCATTGTTCCTTTCCATTTGCCTTTTCGAGTGTTTTCAACCAGTCGATTTTCCATATCAAGCTAATCCAGCGCTTAGACAAATACAGTTGAGTGAGCTACTGTTTAGACCACAGTATTATTGTGGGTCAACCAAGGGATTAGCTGAGGCGAGGAAGTTTACATAGTTTGAGGCGTGCCGTTGTGTATTGAAATGTTAGAGATAAACGAACAAGTGTTTGGCGCCAGTTGAGTATGTGTAATGTTATTCGAAGATCGTGTATTAAAGATGATCAGCTCAAAAACCTACACTCTACGAAAAAATTTATACAGAACTGAAAAAAATTTGCGAAAAAAATTTTCTAATTTTTGATATTTTGAAAAACTAAGAACACAAATAAAAAAAAAATTAAATAAGAAATTACTTAAAATAAAATAAATTGAAATAAAAATAAAAAAAAATTTTGAATAAAATAAGATAGCCTAAAGAAAAATTAAAAACATAAATAAAATAAAATAATATAAAAAACTAATACAATAAAATTAAAAAAAAAATAACATTACATAAGGTAAAATAAAATAAACAAAGATTAGATAAAATAAAATAAGTTATATTCAAACAAATATAAAAATTAAAATAAAATAAAATAAAATAAAAACAAATAATATTAAATAATGTGAAATAAAATATAATAAAATAGACTCAAATAAGATAAAAACTTAAAATAAAAGAAAATAATATACAATACAGTAAACTAAAATTAAATAAAATAAAATATATTCAAAAATAATATAAAAAATAAAATAAATTTAGCTTAAATGAGTTAAAAATAAATAAAATCAATTTTAAAAATATTAAATTAAATTGAATACAATTTAGTAAACTAAAGTGCTAATAATAAATTAAAAAATATATAAACCAATAAAACGAAATAAAATTAAATACAATAAAATTCAACCAAAATATCAAAGATAGAGTAAATTAATATAAAAAATATAATAAAAAATAAATAAATAATTATAAAACAAAATAAAAAGCAATAAAATAAAATTATATTAAATAAATAAAATAAAACAAATAAAATGAAATAAACTAAAATAAGAAATAAAAATGAAATTACAAGAAAGTGAAATGAAATAAAATAAAATTATTAAAAAAATGAAATGAAATAAAATAAGTAAAATAAAATATAATAAAAACATTAAAAATAAAAAAAATAAAATAAAATAAAATAAAATAAAATAAAATAAAAATAAAATAAAATAAAATAAAATAAAATAAAATAAAATAAAATAAAATAAAATAAAAATAAAATAAAATAAAATAAAATAAAAATAAAATAAAATAAAATAAAATAAAATAAAATAAAATAAAATAAAATAAAATAAAATAAAATAAAATAAAATAAAATAAAATGAACTAAATTAAGAAATTTAAGCGAAATTACAAGAAAATTAAATAAAATAAAACAAAATACAATAAATTATAATAAAATATTAAATTAATTAAAATACAATTAAAAGAAATAAAATAAAATTCATTTAAATAAATAAATTAAAAAAAGAAATAAAATTAAAAAAGAATGTAATAAAATAATTTAAAATGAAATAAAATTAAATGAAAAAACAAGGTGAAATGAGATAAAGAAATTATATAATAATATAATGTACTAAAAAATGAAATAAAAAATAAAAAATAACAGAATTTCATTCAATAAAAAAAAATAATAATAGTCAAATGTTAAAAAATGCTTTGAAATTAATCGAAAAAAAATTTAAATTAAATAAAAGTTTATGAAGCGAAATATAATACACTAAAATCTCATAAAAAAAATAAAAAAAACTTTAGTCAAATAAACATTAAAAACGCGAACACAAAAATGAGACAGCACCAAATCCAAAAGCGCAAATCCGACGAAGCAGAAAAATTAACGTCCAAAACTTTCGTACGTGTAAATATAAAAAATGTATGTGACAAAAATTTAAAAAGTAAATAAAAACTTGTTACTGTTAAGCAATTTTAAATTGCAAAAATTTTAACATGTAAAATATTTAAAGAAACCCATAAAATGTTAAACTGTAAATAGAAACACTTTTTAATTAATAAAAAATGTATTAAATATATAAGTTAGTAAATGAAAACAAAAAAAAAACAGTGAAAATTAAAGAAAAGGTGTAAAAAATGAATTATAGAAATTTAGAAGTGTTTTCTTAAGGAATAAAAAGTTTTGATAGCACAAATGAAAATAAAACTGGCGGGCACTACAAAAAAAAATAAAAAAACTAAAAACATTACTGAAAAATAATTTAAGAAATATATTAAAAAAAAGTTTTAATTTAATGTAAGAATATTTAATGAAATTCAAATTAAACTGTATTAGATTGAAAAGTCAATATTAAGTTACTAAGCAAATGAGAAATGTAGTAGTGAGGATTAATGGAAAACGTGTATGTATGTAAGTCTTGTAAAAAGTAATTGTAACTGTAAAAAAGCGCTTAAGTGTTAAATATTAGACTTAGTTTTATGAAATAAGCAACTTAATAAATTGGGAAAATATAATACAAAATGTAATTAAAATAAATAAAATAATAATTTAAGCTGTAAATACTTACAAGAGCTGTCGTTTTTCTTTATTATTAACATTCTTTGAAAATCCCAGACACACTGAAACTTGTAAATATTTAATTAAATTTTTTGTATATCCTTAAATAAACTCATTTCGCTTTTTTATTTATATGTTTTTTTTTTTAGTTAAAGAAACTTAAACATCTTATTCAAAATTAATTTTTTGTTGCCCAAAATTGAAACTAATTTATTATTATAGTTGTTGTTGTATTTAAACGCTTCAACTAAAATAGCATAACTTTTAAATAAAATGTTTAGTTTTAAAATATTTATTGACGCCAATTTAAAATTAAATCATTTAAATAATTATTAACTTGTATGCTTATGATGTACATACATTGTTTAATGTAGTTTGTGTTCAACACACATAATTGTATACATATGTATTAATATATTATATAATATAGATGTATAACTGTAATTGGCCATATTGATAGTTAAAAAGTTTAAAATGTAAAAAAAAAATGGTAATTAAGTCAAAAAAAAATAAAAATATTAATAAATATATAAAGAATTCTGAAAATCTGAAAATCTGAAATGTGAAATATATTATAAGTGAAAATTAAAATTAAAATATTATAATAAAATTATTATTGATTAATATTGACTTATATGGCAATCACAAATGCAAAATGTAAAATGTGACAAAAATCAAGTAAAGTAATTCAAACAATATAATTAAAATAAAAAATAGAAAAAGAAATAAAAAAAAAATTATAAAAAATTATGTATGAAAAATTTAAACAAATGTTTTCTTATTTACTTCCACTCTGTTTTACATACTCGGCCCAATATTAAAGAGAAATCCATCCATATCAGCTTCCTCTAGAACCCCAAAAAACTGCTTTTTTTTCAGCAATTTTTTCGAGTGGGAAGGAAGTTATTGCGGTTCAGACGATAATTTACTATATTTCAGCTTCAAAAAGCAGTTTTTGGTATCAAAAAATATTGAAATTTTCCAACGTTGAGATGAGTTTTCGGAAGCTGCTGCAGTCTGAACTCGTGAAACGGTGCCGGTGATGGTGGTCGTGCGTTGCATCTGAAACAGTCGAACCGATTTTTTTAATTGTTATGAGTGCATCTTCTCTAAGTGAGCTTAAAAAATACCGACGGAGTTGGGAAATTCCAAATTTTTTTATTGTAGTTTAAATAGAAGATAATTTAATACTGAAGCTAGATCACTTTGATTTCTCTCGAACTATCAAAGGTAGCGTTTTTTAAGCTTTGTAAATATGAAAGCTAGAGAAAACGCGCTTTAAAGTTCTGCCCGACCACTCAAACCTGTTCGACGCTCGACCTCTAAAACTAACTTTTAGCTTCTAAAATATGTCGTTTTGCCCACAGAAATTTTCAAATTTCATATTCTTGGTTAGTTTTAGAATTGAATTAAGAACAATATGCAATATTTTGAAGCCTCTAAAACCTTAAACCATAATCATCATTATAATCTAACGCAACATCTCCTAGCGAACTTGGTCTGCTTCGTGTGTGACCTCCAAATTTGTCGGTTGCTTGTGGCTTCTCCACAATTTTTTGTGCCAAATTTCTTCATGCGCGGCTTTTCTCTTGCTGCGGTGGTGAATGGAAGCTGCAATCACAATTTCCTTCTTTTCCATTCCCTTTACATGAACGAACCAGCTTGGTCGCTATGTTTTGAAGAAGAATCTACGAATTCAAACATTCAAAGATTTGTTGTGCTAAAAAAATTACTTTTTTTCGTTTTCAGGGAGAAATATATGTATATATTTTTTAACACAATTTCTGAGGAAACTCCATATTATATAAGTATAAAAATATATTCACTATAATAAATAAAGCAAAATAAGATTTTTTCCAACAAAAATATATTATTTATAATCAAATATTTTTCAATGATTTTGCCTTTCTTTAGACACCTCTAATGGAGCACCACTTCATTCCAATGGCTTCCGCTAGTGACCAGTTTTTTCTGGCTTTGACTGATTGAGTTCCCAATTTTTTGCTTTAAGTCTTGAAACGTCTCTAGATAGTTGACCTAACGCTTATCATTAATGGCTTCGCACAAAAAATATTCCAACTGATTCAAATTGCAGCTGTTAGGTGCCATTGTTATTTCGGGAAAAAATACGATTATCAAACACACTGCGCAAAAGATCGATTGTAACCGGTATCGGCAGCTTCTTCCTCGTTTTCGAAAAAAATTAACCAATGATGCTGCTGGTCCATCGTGGAGATGCTTTAGTGGCTTTTCATGAAGGTTTCTGGGTCTATGTTTGGGATTTTTTGGAAGGACTAAATTCCTATTAAAAGTAGCATACCTAACTAGTTTAGTTAAGTTATGATGAGTAATGCCTTATATATGCTATCTTGAGCGAAGCGAACGATTGGTTGAAAGAGGGAGTTTAGCCGCCCGGGGTCGCGTCCCAGCTATTAAGCACGCCGTTTGTGCTCCCCGTGTATCCCAACTATGTCAACAGTTCGCTTGATTTTATAATTTGTTTTTTTTTTTATAAATTGTTTTGGAATGTCTACTATCCACCCAACTCCAAAATAATTTAACGATACGTCCTACGTTGGAAGTATACCAGGGCCTCAAGTGTTTCTCTCTAGTCTACTGCTTAAAATCATCTTTAAAGACGCTAGAGTGTTTGAAGCAATCGAAGGTGACAGATTCGCTAGCAGCGCCAGTGCGAGTCAGATCATCAGTCTTCTCAATGCCTTCTACATTTGTTTGACCTGGAACCCAAGTAATAATCACT